CACGCGTGCCTTGGGGCGCATCATATACGGGTATGGCGACGCATGCAGCAGCAACTGCAGCAGCAGCAGCTGCTGCTGCAGCAGAGCAGCAGCAGCAGGATTTGCTGCCTCGTTCTCTTGTAGAGTTGCTGCTGCCGCAGCAACTGCAGCAGCAGCTGCAGCAGCAACAGCAGCAGCACCAGCAGCAGCAGTGGCAGTCGGCGGGTCGTGGGAGCACATGGGCGCAGCAGCAGCAGCAGCAGCAACAGCAGCAGCAGCAGCAGCAGCAGCAGCAGCATGGGGCCGGGCCTTGGAGCTGCTGTCTTGAGGCCTTTCTATATGCTGTGCGGTTGATGCTGCAGCAGTGGGAGGCGCAGCTGCTGCTGCTGCGGCTGCAGCAGCTGCAGCAGCTGCAGCAGGAATGGCAGATACCTTATGCATGCGACTTGCGCCCGTCTGCTGCTGCTGCTGCTGCAGCAGCAGCAGGACCTCTCCCCCCTATACCTATAACAGCAGCAGCAGCAGCAGCAGCAGCAGAACGTACGTCAGCAGCTGCTGCAACAAAACCTACTGCTGCTGCTGCTGCTGCTGCTGCTGCTGCTGTACGACCGCTAACGCTGCTGCTGCTGCAGCAGCAGCTGCAGGACAGTCTCCGCTGCTGGGAGGAGACAGCAGGGGTCCTGGAGATGGCCTTGCATGCAGCAGCAAACAGCAGCAGCAGCAGCAGCAGCAGCAGCAGGGGAGTTCCAACTGCTGCAGCAGTATCAGGGGCCTTGCTGCGGGTGCTGCTGCAGCGGCTGCAGCAAGCAGAGCTACGAGGCGATCTGCTGCAGCAGCGGCTGCTGCGGTTCCTGCTGCTGTTTGCTGCTGCTCCGCTGCTGCAGCAGATGGATAGGCTGCTGTGCTGCTGCAGCACTGTGGAGCTGCAGCAGCAGTTCTGCTGCGACCCGCCTCCTGCTTTTGCTGCAGCAGCAGCAGCAGCAGCAGCAGGACCGGGATCCACCCTCAACTTTCAAAGCAGCAGCAGCAGCAGCAGCAGCTGTTGGTGGAGCGTGCTGCAGCAGTGTCTCAGTGATGCTGCTGCAGCAGGATGGTATGCAGCAGCAGCAGCAGCAGCAATGCGTGGGGCAGCAGCAGCTCCTCGGTCTGTTGGTTGCGGGGCGTTGAACCTGCAGCAGCAGCAGCAGCAGCAAGAGCTGCAGCAGCTGCTGCAGCACTGTCCTTCTACTGCAGCAGCAGCAGCAGGAGCAGCAGCAGCAGCAGCAGAAGCAGCAGCAGCAGGTGTAGGCGGCCTTTCGCTTGATATTACAGCTGACCTGCTAGACCTCGCCAGGGCCGAGCAGCAGCAGCAGCAGCAGCAGCAGCAGCAGCAGCAGCAGCAGCAGCAGCACGCAGCACCACCCAGCAGCAGCAGCAGCAGCAGCAGCAGCAGCAGCAGCAACTGTGGTGAGTGTGTGCTGTCTACAGACTTCCTGCAGCAGCTCGCTGAGCACTTCAGCAGCTGGCCCTCCATACCCTGCAGCAAACTGCAGCAGCAGCAGCAGCAGCAGCAGCAACAGCAGCAGCAGCAGCAGCGGCAGCAGCAGCAGGTTAAAGCAGTGCATAGAAGGCTACCTGCTATATCTGCTGCGTCCTCAA